CAAATAACAAAAGAAGTATAAATGAAATCATCTCTGAAGCTTTCCATCTCACCAAAAAAATTGGCAAAGATGACTAAAAATAGAAAACCATCAATGTTGGAAGGGCTCTAGAAAGACAGGTACATTAATATACTGTTGGTGGAACTGCCTATTATTCAGTTTTCCATTCCAGTTCCATTCTGGAAAATGATTTAGAATTATTTTTTAAAAAGCACTATATTGTTCATATCCTAGGCCTCAATATTACTACTAGAAATATATTCAAAGGATATCAAAGACATAAAGAAAAGTCCAATTTATGCCCAAATTTTCATAATAGCACTTTGTTGATAACAAACAACTGGGAACAAAGTCAGTGCCCATCCACTGGGATGGGAATGACTAAACAAACTGCAACACGTGAATATAATGCATTTTTATTGTGCAGGAAAAAAGATAACAAATATGAGGAACTGAGGAAAACAAAGAAGGATTTTACAAACTGATCCACAGTGAAATAAGAATCAGAAGAACAATATGAAAAAAATTTACAATTATGTAAATAAAAAGAACACAAGGGAAAAGGCTATATGGTACAACAGATAAAGTATGTGACTTGGAGTCAAAAGGACTTGAATTTAAATCCCATCCTTCTCACTTCTTAGTTGTTTGACCATGGGCAAATCATTTAACTACCCTAGTGCCAGTTTCCTTATCTGTAAAAATAAAATAATACCTGAAGTCCCCCCTACCTTGCAAGTTTATTGAAAGACTCAAAAGAGCTAAAGCATGTAAAAAATATTTTTTTCAAGAGCAAGATACATATTGTTACTTTGAAAAAACACATCAAAGGGAAGCCAGCCTCTGAATATTTGCAATAACCAATCTTGGTTCAGGAAAACAGGTAATGAAACATCCCTCTCTACTCTTTGCAGAGATGTGAAAGACTATAGGGGCAGAATGTGACATCAGATGCAATCATTTTGTAGATTATTTTTGCTTAACTGATTTTCTTTTAACAAAGATAGACAGTTTTCCAGGGTACTGAAATAACTCAAAGGTTTGACTACTGAGCTGTTGCCTATGATTTTTGAGAAACCGGAGAAAAAGGAAATCTAGAGTTGGATAAATGTGATCCTATGGCAGCTAGGTGGCACAGTGGATAGAGTGCCAGGCCTTAAGTCAGGAAGACTCATCTTTCTGAATTCAAATTGGGCCTCAGACACTTACTAGCTGTGGGATGCTAAGCAAGTCACTTAACTCTCTTTGCCTCACTTTCCTCATTGGAAATGAGCTAGCTGGAGAAGGAAATGGCAAATCACTCCAGTATCTTTGCCAAGAAAACCCCAAATGGAGTAATGAAAAATCAGGACATGAATGAAACGACTGAATAACAACAAGAAATGGTCTCAATTTCAAAAAAGGCAATTCTTTGAATTCTCAGTTAAGGAGCTTGACTTCATATTATTAACAAGATGGTCTGTGATCATTAGAAAAAGAAATGGTTATAATATGGATATATCAAGAATGGGCCATGCCAGAATAACCCTATTTCTTTTAAAATAAGTATATATGGATAAATTACTTGTAAAATAAGGGTTTTTTTTTGATGCCTTTAGTTTTTGTATCACAGTCATTTCTGGATAGAGTCCCTTCTCCCACTATAGAACTAAAACCTGTGAAGTGGCTACTGCAATTATTATCATTCTCCTACTTTATAGATAAAGAAACTAAGGCTCAGAACTTGAATCACTTCCACACATTTAATATCAAATCTAGAACTCAAATTTAGATCTTCTCACTTCAAGTTCAGCACTTTCCAACCCTGTCATGCACCCTAAATCCACTCTACAAACTGATAGAACAAGAACATCAAAAAGGAGCGGTCACTTTATTTTATTTTTTTGGAGGTAGCCAGGGTTAAGTGATTTGACCAGGGTCACACAGCTAGTAAGTGAGTGGTCACTTTAAACTAAAAGCAGCTACTACCTCCAATTTCAACTTCGGCTCCATTTCATACATCCTGTCACTTGCCACCCCTTAAGCATCTGAGCCATGAAGAAACTGGTTTTTTCTCCTTTCTTCCCAGGAGAATCACTGACCCTAGAAAAACCTTAAAATCATCCAACTCTTTTAAAATGACCCTAAAACAAAACAAAAACCCCACCTACAAAGAAAGCTTCCACTGTTTTGTTAGCTCTTTGGGGGGAAAAATGGTCAAGGGCCCCTCAGAAATGGTACTTCTATATATATATATATATGGCAAGCCTCAAATTGAGTGGAATATAAGAGGATAAATAAAATAAAGTCTTGTAAGTTTCATGAATCTGAATTCTTGCTATATTCGCTTTTTTTTTTCACCCACCAAGTTTAATTTCACAGCAAGTCACTTGTGCAGCCAGGTGGAAAGTCATTTGCTATCAAAGCCATTCAGGATATTCTGAAATGGATTTCAGCTAATTCCCATATTCATTCCAAGAGTAAATCATATTGTACCTGCTATGTCTTGGTACCAGTTAAAAGGATGAAATAAGTAGAACTTGTCATTTCGATGAAGGAAGAAGTGAAAATCTGGTTCTTTCTTCTCTTCTTTTCTATTCTCTGATTACTTTAAAAACTCTGCCATATTTTAAGGTTAAGAATCACTTAAGTAAACCTATGTGAGTGCCTCATAATCATGTTTGGTTACTTTTCCTGCCTTACCATTAGCATAAAAACAAAACAAACATACACACACACACACACACACACACAAAAAAAACAACCAAAAACAGAAAACCAGAGTGATACAATACATGATTCAGGTTCCAGTATAATTGTGAATACACTGAAAATGGTGAGTATTTGACCTATCTCTTTCCTGAATGCAGAAATATTTGTGACCTTGGGTAAGTCTCTTGACCACTCTGGACTTCAGTTTCCTCTTCTATAAAATGAGGGGGTTGGACTAGATGATCTTTAAAGTTCCTTCTAACTCTAAATCTGTATCTTGCCTAGAGAAGCCATGGATAAATTGAAATTTCTCTTCCTCACTCAATTTCTTCCTAGAAGTTGACCAGGAACACACAATACTTTAATATATTTTTACTTATTTCATTAAATATTTCCCAATTACATGTAAAAAAATTTTAACATTAATTTTTTTTTAATTTTGATTTCCAAATTCTCTCCCTCCCTTCTTCCTATCCCGCCTCCTTGAGAAGGTAAGCAATTTGATCTCAATTCCTGGAACATACCATTCAACATCCCAAGATGTCAGTTCAACATTAGCAAAGTGCCACCCATGAACCAACTCCAAATGGCCTTGTGTATCTTCTTATGAAGCCCATCAAAGGTTATCTCTTATGAGGGATGTGGGTATTGAGCTCAATTATGGAATAAACAGATTTTAGATTGAAGAGGCAAATCTCCCCCATCATATACCTGCCTTTTTAGACATATTTTGCAGCTAGGCTCTGGATCAGTGCCAATGACTGCCAATGACTCATACAGAAACACCCAAGGGAACAGACACAACATGTGAGCTCCTGGCTGCCCATTCTATAGGATTATCAACCAAGATCACCCAGAACAAACATTGAGAAAGCAGAATAGAACAACAGACCATCACAGTCAAGCTGCTGAAAGCTCTTACCTAGTACTTCCTCCCTCTCATTTTCCCTCATATTACAGGGTGAGCCAGAAGATCTAACAGCTTTGATTACTTGCATGCCAGCCCTCATACTAGCACAGAACTTTCTCCTGTCCAACTCAGGTGTGGCGGTAGCCTCTTGAGATCATCTTCGCACTGCAAGATGCCAGCTGCATTTCTCCACATTCAAGGGGCATGGTAACTAGTCACTGAAAGGACACACACTCTATTTTTGCTTCAGTTTCCCCAACCATTTGTGGAGACCTAAGAGTGACCAAATGAACTCTATGAACTTTGTCCCAGTAGATAGGAAAGGAAAGGGACCAGACCTGTGGTTTCATTAATATAAGGAACTCCCAGATGAAGAAATTCCCTCTATTAATGCAGGTACACACCTTTTCCTGCAATTTATAATTTGATGTATGTAAATCTAATATATAATTTTATTATATATTACAACATTAAATATATACTATATATTATTATAAACATATAATTTAGCTATTTTATTTTGTATCATATAGGTATAGTAAATATATTAGTATATAACATAAATCTAATCTATAATTAGATTTGCCTAGGGCATTAAGAGGTTAAATGACTTTCCCAGGGCCACAGGGCCTGTGGTTATCAGAGGCAGAATTTGAACTCAGGTCTTCCTGACTCCAAAGCCAATACGTTTATCAACTATACCACAGCTGCCTCTCAGATCCCCTCAAGATGATCCCCAAAGTATCACTCCCATGCTTTCAGCATCCACAATGCTCCACAAGATGTAGAAGCTTCTGGGAGCTCCCATGTACTGTGATTCAGCAACAAAGCCAAAGGATATGGATCCTCAACTTATTAAGGTGCATCTCCTTCCATAACAGAAACCCAGATGTGAGCACAGCTACATAATGACACAATTAAGTTGTACTAGATGAAATCTGATCTTTGAGCTTTTCCTTATTGTTCATACAAAGGGGAATGAAGAGTTGGGTGAGATGAGGAGAAAAAAATGCTCCAAGGCAATCCTCATTTCAATCTCTCATCTTTCCATTGGGTTCCTTCCAAGTGTATGCCTGATGTTCAAGTCTTCAGTTGCCACTGTCTCCTGAGCTAATTTTCTTACCATTTAATTCACCATCTGCCCAAAGTTGAACACACTCACCTGGAACTCACAGTCCGCATAACCACTTCCATGCTGACGTCCTAACAACCCCCAGGTTAGCTTCCAAACCCTCCCTGATGGTGCTAAATAGACCCCATGGAGTGACAGTCTTTTGTTCCTACTTGCAGGAATGGAAGATGGGGGAAAAAACCTTAACACTGAAGAACAGCACCTGCTTGTGTTTTCTTTCATTTCAATATCTCCCCTAAGTTCCTTACCCAGGTGTTCTTCATTTACCTGTACAAAAAGTGCCATCGTTGGGAATGAATGTCTTGTTGTTATTTGTTGCTCGATATCCTTCCAGACAAATGCAATAAAAGCCTCCAAGCGTATTATGGCATGATGTTTTGTTCCCACAGACTACAGTGTCTCCAAATTGACATTCATCTTTATCTGTGAACACATTCCAATGCACAAAAAAAAGGGTTATAAAGACACTGCAGTGATGCTGCACTTAGAACCACAAAGATGGGTACACTAACATTTTATTTTCATGGCCTATATGAGAAATAATTCTTGTGGAAAGGGCTTAGACACAGGATGATAGTCTCTCATGGAAAAGAGCTTTGCAATCATTTAGTCCAATCCTCTAATATTAGAGATGAGAAAACTGAGGCTCAGAGGTGCTGAATGGCTCACCCAAAGTGGCACAGGTAGTCTGACTCCTAACCCAATACTCTTGCCACTGCAATATGATGCCCAGCAAAATTTTGTTCTCCTTATCCCCAGAGAGGAGATATAGGACCAATGGATGGGGCAAAGTTATAGGAAGATAGGATTCAGCTCAATATAAAGGAAAAATTTCTAAATAATTAGAGCTGTCCAAAAATAAAGTGAGCTACCTCCCAGGTGTTAATGAGTTTCCCATCTCTAGTGGCCTTCAAGCGAGGTTAATTGATCACTGACCTCATATTTTCCTAGAATCTAGTATCTGGATCACTCTTTTGTATCCTTTCCCTCCTGACCTTGAATTATACTTATGTGTATTGCATACTTATATGTATATGTGTATGTATGTGTGAGTATGTATGTATATAATATGTATGTGTATACCTGTTTACACATAATGTCCCAATTTAAGAATATAAGTTACTTTAGGGTGGGTCCTGGATCATTCTAATTCTTGTATCTACTGTGCCTAAAGCAGTACCTTTAAGTGCTTAATAAATGTTTGTCATTAAATTGATCACGTTACGTTGTAGAGGCGATCCTTGCCCCATATAGGGGTTGAAGTAGCTCATCTCTGAGGTTCTTTGTAATGCTGACATTCCATGATGCAATTACTCTGTCTTGTTTCAACTCATTTTTTCTTTATACAGGATAAAAACTAGTTATTCACTACCTTCCTATCACTTTGAGGAAATGAAATTCAAGCTTTTTTTAAGCTAAAAATTGGACTTCATAATGGGAGATTTATTCCATAGGATTTGCAGCTAAGAGACCTTAGAAAATATCTGTTTCCACCACCCTTCTTTATATGTATATATGAGGAAAGTAAGCACAAAGAAATCAAGTGACTTTCCCAAGATCACACAGCTTTTAAGTGGAAGAGCCAGGATTCAAACCCATGTGTTCTGACTATAACTTCAGTTCTCCTTCCACTAAACCATGCTGTCTTCCCTTACCCTCCAGAATATAAAACTTATCATTAGGAATATTCTTTAAAAGTTTTCACTGAAGAATAAAGAGGATTTCACCCAACTTGACATGAACAAACTCAGTTATCCAACACTTCCAGACTAGGAAAGCAACAATAAATCCCTTCCTCTCTCTAGGCCTCAGTTTTCTCATGTGTAAAATGAGGGGATGGACCCAGTGGTTCTCTTGGGCCTCTTCTATCCCTATTATTCTATGATTATATGAACATTCTGCTCCTTTTCAACTCTCCAACATTAGAAAATTCAGGACTTACCATGACATTGGGTTCTTCCATTGCCCACAAATCCATAATTACAGATACAGATCTCCTTCCCATCTATCCGCTGACAGGTGGCATGTACGTGACAAGTGGCACAGACAGCTGAAACTGAATCATGTATCATATCTTTAAGGAAGAGAAAAACACCCCTAACAAGTCAGCTTGTGATTCCCTATAAATAGGCACTAGAATTGTGTATAATTGAGCAAAACTGACTTCTCCAGCACTGTCTGCTAACTCTATAGGTAGACAAAAGTATAATTTGGAAGGGGTGAAGGAGAAGCATCTTTTTGCTGCGATGGGATTCTACATTTACAGCTGGGTTACTGGGGGAACATTCTGATGATAGGTGCTTAAGAAGCATATGTGTCAAACCGTGACTGGGTATTAGGAACAAAGCTGGAAAATGTACCAGTAAGGATCAGAAATGGGAAATTACTTCAAAGGCAATGTGAGGGAAATTGAGACTACTCTTTCTGTGTTAAGTATGAGTTACTACTGCTTGAAACTATGCCTTGGTCTCAATGATATATTTCTAATTAAAAAAATTCTCATCCATACTTTTAATATAAAACCTAGACATTAACCAGGCTACTAATTACCATTAGAAACTAACATAACACTTGATGCCTCTCTTGTATCACATTTATATTCTGCCTTGATGCATACATGTGTTTAACACATGCATACATATGTTAAAGTACCTTTCCCAACTAGAATGTAAGTTCTTTGAGATCAGTAACAGAAGACACGAAATACAATGAAGAAATACTATGGGATAAGATAAGTTCAAGAAATAAACCCAAAAGAAGAGAAGAACCTCACAAAAATTATAGGAAGAGCTTCAAAGAGGAAAATAATGACTTGGCCACAAAGACTAAAATAGTAGTTGCAAAACACACACACACACACACACACACCCCCCCAAGATTTAAAAAAAATATGAAATTAGAAATGAAAGGAAGATTCAGAAGGGAAAAAAATGGAAAAGAGAATAAATTGCTTAGAATAGAAAGTAAGAAAAACTTACCCAAATAATGGACTCCTTGAAAAATATACAGTAAAGAAAACTCAATCACTCTATGAAATAAGAATTACAACAGTCAAAAGATTAGGAAAATAGAAAGAAATATAAGATATTTACTACCCCCAAGAAAAGTGATCTGGAAAACAGGTCAAGAAAAGACAATATATATGAAAACCAGTACATCACATTTCAAGAAATTATCAAAGACAACTGCCCATATCTATTAGAATCAAAACAAAAAAAAATGCACTAATCATCTCCTGAAAGAAAACCCACCCTTAAAATACTCAGAAATGACACTGCCAAAATGCAGAGCTTCCAAGGCAAAGAAATAATACTGAAAGCAGTAAGAAAGAGAGTTTGAGTACCAAGAAATCAAAGTTAGTATCACACAAGAGTCATCAACAACTAGTACGAAGAAGAGAAGTCACAGAATGTGATATCTCAAAAGGCAAAAGACAAAGGTTACAACAAAAAGTAACATATCAGGTGGGATAGAAGGAATAAACCTTCCTTTCACCATTTTTCAGAAAGGGAGAGGCTGTATGTCATGGATGGAGAGCTGGCCTTAAAATTAGGAAGACCTGAATTGAAATTCCACCACCAACAGATGCTGGTTGCATAAATTGAGCCACATAACTCCCTAATACTGTAGGTAAAGCTCTAAGATGATAAATTGCAGAGAAAGAGCTAATTTGCCTTGGTAGAGAAAGTTTCCTCATCCAAAAATCAATGAAATCACACGTCTAATAATAATGTCTAGCCCTATTCATTTAATTCTTATGTGCCTCAATGAACTCCCAGATATTTTACACTTTCAATAGTTATCTTAGATGTAATTTTGTTTTCTAATTCCACAGAGTTTTATTGGTAATAAACAGAAATTCTGATGCACTTCTTAAGTTTCATCTTCCAACTTGCTGGAGTAATTAATTTCTCTATTTATTTTAATTGAATCTCTAGGGTTCTCTTGTATGCCATCTTATCATCTGCAAAAGTCATAATTTTATTTCTTCTTTGCCTGTGCTTATTCTTTCAAGTTCTATAAAATACTTTACAGAAATAGATATTTTATCAGATAAATATCAGATAAGTGGAAAAATATTACTTTTTCATGTTTTGAACATGCCAATAAAATAAGAATACTACCTAAATTACTAAAGGATAACTTAAAAGACAATGACAAAATCATAATAAATTATGTAATAATAATATAATAAAATTCAACTAAAGTAATACAAAATCAAGACTCTTAAAGGAAATTAGGAAAAAGTGGGAAAGAAAGAGGTCTAGCAGTACCAAATCTCTAATCATAATACAAAGTAGCAATCATTAAAACTGTTTGGTACTGAATAAAAAAGTAGAATAGTTAACCAATGGAACACAAAAGCAACTGAACAAAGTAGCACAGCATTCCAGAAGCCCAAAATCACAAACTAAGGATTCACTATTAAAAAAAAACAAAACAGTTGGGAAAATTGGAAAACAGTCTAAGAAAAATAATGTTTAGATCAATATCTCATACTATATACCACAATAAATTACAAGTGATTGCATGATCCAGATATAAAAGATCAGATCACAATTAGCAAAGTAGATGAAAGTGGAAGGAGATACCTTTCACAATTGTGGAGAAAGGAAGAGTTCTTGACCAAACAAAAAATAGAGAGGATCACAGGATATAAAATGGACAATTTTGATTACATAAAATCGAAAGTTTTTATACAAATAAATGCAATGCAGTTAGAATTAGAAGGGGGAAAATTAGTTGGAGAAAACATTTACAGCAAATTTCTCTGATAAAGGTCTGATAACCAAGATTTAGAAGGAATTGATACTTATGCATGTGTTTGTGTATACATATGTATACACACAAATATATATGTATACCTATCTATACATATATGTATACACATGCATATATATGAACAACAGTCATTCCCAATACATACATGTTTAAAGAACATGAACCAGTGTTTCACAAAAGAAGAATTGCAGGCTCTCAATAACCACATAAAAATGCTCCAAATCACGAGTAATAAGAGAAATGCACATTGAAGTAACTCTGAGGTTCCACTTCATAAGTATCAAATTGTTTAAACGACAGAAAAAAAAAAGGCAATTGTTGGAGGGAATGTGGGAAGACAAGCAAATCAATTTACTATTTGTTGATCTGTAAAGTGAAAGCAACCTGTAACTATATCCAAAAAGTTGTGAAATTGAGTATCCTCTCTATTTTTTTAAGGCAATTGGGGTTAAGTGACTTGCCCAGGGTCACACACCCAGTAAATGTCAAGTGTTTGGTCTGAGGCTGGATTTGAACTCAGGTCGTCCTGACTTTAGGGCCGGTGCTCTATCCACTGCACCACCTAGCTGCCCCTGAGTATCCCCTCTAACCCAACCATGCCACAACTAGTTTTTTTACCTCCAAGAAATCAAAGAAAGAGGGGAAGGACCCATATGTACAAAAATATTTATAGAGCACTTTTTGTTGTAGCAAAGAACTGAAGCAAAGTAGGAATCTACAAATAGAGAATGTCTGAACAAACTATGCTATATCAATATGGCAGAATATTATTTGCCATAAAAAATGAAAGGGGCAGATTCCAAGAAACCTGAGAAGACATCTATGAACTGATGCACAGTGAAATAAGCCAAACCAAGAGAACTATTTATAGCTATATATACCAGAATCACAATATTTGTAAAGAAAAATTATTCTGAAATACTTAAGAATATTGATTAATGCAATCACCAATCACAACTCCAGAAGACTAATAATAGAGCCACATCTTAGTGGATTATAGGTGTGAAATGAAACGTTTTCAAATGGAACCAAAACAACACAAATTTGCTTTGCTTGACTATATTTGCTACAAAAGAGGGCTCTCTTCTGGAGATGGTAGAGATATGCCATGGAGGTAGGTAGTGTTAGTGATGGAAGCATTCATTAAATACCTACTCTATCCAAGCCACTGGGGATATACAGACAAATTAAATAGTTTCTTCTTTCAAGGATCTTATGTTCTACTGGAATGACACTTTGAGATCATCAACTACAAAATATATACAAAGTAAGAAGAGTACTAATAACTAGGGCAGGGGGAGCATGGATCAAGAAAAACTTCCTAGAGGAAGTGGCACCTGGAATGAGTCTCAAAGGGGCTAGGGATTCTAAGAGGCAGAAAAGTGAGGAAAGAGAACATCACAAGCACGATGCATGTCTAAGCAAAGGTAGAGAATCAGGAGCTGGGATATCAGCTAAGAATCATAAATGGGCCAGTTTGTCTTGAATGTAGCATGGGTGAAGGGAAGTCAGTCTGGGAATACAGTTTCCAGAAGCAGTTCACAAAATCTGGCCTGGAAAGAGCTAGAAGGCAATAGCTCCTCTCCACCAAATAAGAGCCATTTCATCTCCCAAGAGATCTCCTTTGGAAGAGATTTTATCCTGGGTGGAGATCCACAGAATTCAACTATCTGGCATAGGAAAAGTGGAAGAACAGAAGGCAAGGATGGAGAAAGGAGGGCTAAGGTAGAGGATTTACAGCATCCCACCATGTATAGTGGAACCCTACTAGATTTTCTAAGACAATCTTGTTAAAAGGTACTTTCACAGATTTCCTATAGCTAGAGGTAAGGAAGAGTTGGAAGACAGCAAGACACACAGAGAAAAACATGGTATTCCCCTCTATGGTTGCAACTTTAAGCTACTGAAAATTTCAGAGTGAAAAAAAAAATATCTTAAAGGAGAAAGTTTTTTGTTGAACTTTTAGTATACATTGTATACATAGTAGGCATCCATATATAGATACATATAGATATATAGATATATAGATATGTTAACTGAGGTGTCTACCAACCCACCACCACAAAAGTAACATTATCTTTAAGGTAGTGAATGACATCAGAGATTCATGGGAATTCAGAGCCAGGTGAAAGAAGGCAATAAAGAAGAGGGAATATCCTTCTTTGAACCGGGGCTCACAGAAAATAATACAGGGTAAGGTATGGGTGAATTTAGGTTCTACTCTCAACAATCACTTATCAGAAGAGGAGTCTTGGAGGTACAACGGTCTCTTCC